TGATATCAAATACAATTTATTACTATCTAGTTTTCAGAGACAAAAAGGGACAAAAGCCATAACCTGAGAAAAAGTTGAACCAAAAGATTATTTATACAGACTTAAATGGCACATATTTTGGTGCAATGGTAACTCTGGAATYCTTTTAGCCCTAATTGCACCTCTCTTGCCAGACTGTAACACTAACTACTGGTACAAACCTGTGGCTTCATGGTAGCTAGGAGGAGCTTCATCTGTACCGCCATAGTTATCTGTTTGAGCCTGTCCTGCCTCAGCATCCTATAATAGATAGATAGATACTTTACTCCCCCAAAAAAATAARTAAATAAAAAACAAAAAAAACAAAAAACAAAAACAAAAAATCAAAAAACAAGAGAAAACAAAAATACACACACACTTGCAGTTATAAGCTGAACTGCAGCATCATGGTATTACAAATGATTAAAGGATAAAAGGACTACAAATTAGTTAAAACCATTTACAATACACATTACTGAAGCGCAATTGTCAGTCTTGCACTGAGGATGAGAACAATTTTGGTTTCCTAAAAGACATTGCGCCTTTAGGAAATTTTGTCTGTCAAATAATCCTCTGGGTTTTTTTATTGCTCCTAATTTGTACTGAACCTTTCAAAGCAGCCAACTAGAACTAAATGTATCTGTGTTATCATAACTCTTGCAAGYTTTTTGTCTTTTTCCTCTGGTGAAAAACCAATTTCTAAAAGCATTGACAACCAGCAAGTTTTCTATTCTTTTACACTGTATTTTTATTTGTTACATTTTATCATATAAAGCTTTAAACTTTCTTTTTATGCCATGCATGGGTTTTCAATGATAGCTGATTAGTTGAAACTGTTTAAAATCAAAACTGTGCAATTTAAGTCAAAATCCAGAGCTGAAAGGGAGGTCTTTAAAGGGATCCAGCTGTAGTCAGCTGCGTGAGCTGATTCAATTAAATATTCATTTATCAAAATTTCTGCTATTTATCAAAWTGGAATGGTGTCAAAAATTTGGTAGTTGACTGCAGTTACTCCATTCATGAAGCATTTATCAAATTGGARTGATGTCACAACCAATGAGCACTACTGTCAGATTGCAGTTACTCCTTTCATGAAACACGATTTTAAATACATTATAATTTCTAAAGACTGAACTCAAAATCCTCATCTARAAATTAACATTTTTAAATGCATCAAATTTCTCATATTTCATTTTGTTTGTGTCAGTTTAGTTCACCAGAAATGAGCAAATGTACATTATAGCTGATTAATTAGAATATTGAAAGACAAATCGGCAAGCAATTGGCATCCCCTACAAGCTAAAATTGGTAAATGGAAAAGAAAAAAAGGATTATAARATAATGGAGGGTGCATAAATACTGGAACGAATAATTTCGTTTTCTATTATATTTCTCACATTTTAATCAGAAAATAAAAAAAATAGATATAATTCCATCATATATTAAAAAAGAACAACAAATAAAAAATATGCCGTTTTATGAATTAAAACATGGCAAAAATTCGGAAAGGATGCATTTGTGAAGAGATCAAAAAGACAGATTGAAAAAGCCAAGARAAATTTGCATATCAATGGATAAGGAAGCCATGCAGGACCTTCTAGTCGGGGTTTAAAATGATCCTTGTATTTCAGTCACAATATCAATTAAAATCAAATTAATATTATTATCARCCGAGAAGCAATGGATCTACTGAAATTGCTCAAAAATTGGTTTTAGTAGGGTTAGAAATCGAAAATCCAGCAGCTGGCTGGTTGTGTTTGGTCACATAGTAATAACTTAAGTGATTCAGAATGCCCTTATGACTTTGAACATAAGAATAACCTTTTGACTTAAAAAAAAATAACAAAACAAAACATCACACCATGGAAATGGAAACGCTTAGTTACCTAAATAGTCTTAACTACAAAAGTACAGAATTGTGTATATGCTTAATTTGCATAGCTTACAAGTGTGTCTAGTGTGTAGAGCTGTATAAAGCTCGTTTAACCATAGAACCTCCCTTCAGCCAGAGTTTCGTCTAAACACATACGATACCAAAAACCGCATTAAATAGATATATTTCGCAAAACCATACAAAATATTSTCTGGAAGCCAMAGATTATTACTCAAAATATACGTTGTTTTTGTCAAAACAATTCTATAGTCGTTTCTACGAAACAGTGGTCACTAGATACGAGTATTCTGTGAAAGCGAAAGCGAAATGCAAATGCAAATCCTTTGTACATSACAATAACCCAATAACTCAGCGTCCAATTTTAACCTAAAAGTCCAATTAGGTATTCGCTCTTTTCACTGCCGTGCACCAACAAAGTGTAAATGACTCCAAATAGCCGAGGAAAGATCGAAAATAACAGGTTGTAAACTCAGAAAAACCAGTTGCTGGTTCCGCCTTGTAAGCTATTTTTTTAGTGACATCTTTGGACCAAAGAAGCCAATAGAAAAATAACCCATAAATACAATTAATCCGCATAATTTGAATATTTTGCACCTCATACTTACATTTAGCGGTTCCTTGTTCGAATCCATGGAAAAGAAATGACTTAAAACCTAAATGCACTAAATGTTTGCACGACACAGCCACCTCCTAATAACAAGTCTTCGAGAAACGTTGCGTGACAGAATTTTGTTGCGCACTTTACATATGGACTGAGTACTAACGACGTCATCGTATATAAATATACATTATATATTTCCCGCTCTTTCATGTCATTTTGAAAAATCCCGACAGTMTCTTAGAAAAAACAGTTTGTGACGTTTCTGGGAGGAAACTTATCGCTTTAATGTTCATAATTTTATTATATTTTTGGGGATTGTTTTGTGAATTGTGCAAGGCCTGAAACACTCCAATCATGCTTAGTTCTTCAAAAAGGCGCAAACTTTTCTTTACACATTAAAGACATTAAAGCTAACTGTGATGCATGCGGACTTTTCTCCKTGAGGTTAGTAAAGTGTTTACGGAAAAAAACAAAAGGTAATCTAGGTTTTAATRGGCTACCAGTGGCCAATAATTGAAAATGAAGTTTAGCCAATCAGCGCAAGGCAAATTTGCAAAATTTAGGTGATTACAATTTCTACTGAGAATTAATATGGTCCATGATGTGTAGTAAAATAATCRGTCAAAAGTATGATATTTATAGCCTATTCCATTTCACTTGCCTTGTCCACAAGATCCAGCTATTTCTTTTACCAGTATTCAAACTTAACGAATTAACCACATTCATAGACGATCGTGATAAATTATTTGCCCCCACAATGAAACTGAGTCATCATCCACACACAAGATAAGACCCTCTGGAGGCGCACCGACGTCTGCGCAATGCCCTTCACTTGAAGATTGGCACGAAACCCTTCTCGTCAAAAGGCGTCATCTCTACACCTTAGCTGTGCCTGTTTMGGGAAATAAGTTACTTTCTTAAACTCCCATTTCATTGATTCCATTCACTTCATTGAMACTTTTTGGAATTAAGCACTTTGAGCGGTTAATTCGTTTGCTATGCAAACACTCTACCTCCACAAATGCTAGATAACAAGGCAAACATTTCAAGAATTCTGTTACGTTTTTTTATGAACGAWAGCTTGCCTTAACCTAAACTCGGTGTTATCGTAKGTGATGGCAGACAGGAAAGGGTCATTKTACAGTCCTRAGGCAGTAAGTCAACCTACAAAATTATATTGAAAATGATCCCTTAGGGCTGTGAGTCGCATTCCATCGGTTTTMATAGCAAACAAGTTGTCGGCTCTGATTGATGCGTCAGTTCACAATGTAAACACTACATTAACAAAACCTCTATGTGTGTGTGGCGTCATTGAACGTACAGAGAATTCGTATAGTTCTTGACCCTTTGAAGTACTATCTTTTCATTCGACACTGTTAATTTGTCGTTGCAATTTAACAAACAAACACGTCTTGTGGCATGCTCTAGCKTTTCTTGTACTAAGACGTCTATAAATTGGTGGCTTAACTTCTGAAACATTTCGACTTTGGAAATATGCATCTTCACCTATTGGAAATGTGTGTCTTAATCGYTCTGGTTCATGGCCGCATTGTACATAGTATTGCTCAGAAGAAAAGACAGTTATACATCGGTGGAATGCTTCCTCTTAGCCACAATTCCTCGACTAAAGGACTTAACGGTAGTGAATTAYTATCAGTTTGTAAGTTGGCAGTGGATATGATAAACAATAATACTCATATACTACCAAACTATGACCTCAACTTACTCTTCAATGATRCACAGGTAAGAAATCGTTACGGCTGATGATATGYAAATCCGTCCTTTCAGGAAAAAAACAGAGCTGAAGCCAAGGCGCACATTTCATTGTTTTAGTATAACATCAGAGGGAAATATAAATCAAAGCTTTCTGATCCCTTTGAACTTAAGCTCGTAGTAGTCACACATAAAAACGTTATTATATAATCTCCACATAATCATTGACATCCTGATCCGAGACTACAGAACTTTCAAGTCATTTGCCATACACATTCAACTTGGCCTGCGGTCCATAACAATTTTCAAAATTTGTACATGAATGTTTTCGTTCTTACAAGCATTAAAATGTTTAAGATACTTGATATGACTTAATTGCGTTTTACAATATTCACAACCCGACCTCACGGCTAGCGACCATAAGAAATTCTATTTCCGGACAACTGGTCTTAGTTATGACGGAGTCGAGATCAAATCAAACGTACACTAATGCATATATCAATATTTTCCATCTACAAGACGTCTACAKGAAATAGGTTACCCTTAGGTAGTAGCTGCCAGGCTACAGCRCCTACTGCCGCGCACTCACATGTTCTTTTCTTTCTTTAAACGGCATTATAATTTAGGAGGTGCCGATGGTTCCTGGGAGAAATATATATTCTGTTCTCATGTCCCAGCCAGCTGTAAGTCACAACTGGTTGCCAGCGAGAAATTCAGGAAAAAAGAGCTCTCCAGGAATTTTTGCCAGGAAAATAAAAATTTCCTWACTAAAAAAAATGTAAGCCGTTTTTGACCAATACAAACGTTATATAAAGCCTTTTTTGACCTAAAAAATCGTTTTTGAAAGAAAATTATTTGAAAGAAGGAAGGGCGCCAGCTTGTGACATTGTACACTGTAGCTCAAAAATCCCAGAAAAAAAATCGTAGGTACAAGAACGGCTCCTCCTGATAATTCGACTCCGGTGAAAAACAACTCAAGTCTTATTGTGATAATGGTATGAGAAGTTCTCAATTAATATTGAAAGCATTTTTCAATCGTTTTCATGACGACAAAGAATTTATTCATAAATGGATGTTGAAGTWCTGTGAATAGAACAGATAATACTCGCTTAGTTAGGAAACATCAGAATCTGTTATGAAACTCGTCCAAAATGAACAAGGGAGCATATTTATATGAAATCGAAAAGAAAAAAAGAAAAAGTTTTGCTTTGCGTAACCTGCCTGGACGGGACCTTTCGTGTGATGGTCTGTTTTTAACTGCTGATTGACCATCTGTACTGCATGTGGTCAGACTCTGACCCTAGAAATCGGATTTCTAGGGTCCTCAATACTCATCATGCTGGTATATGGGTCACAGGTCCTCTATTACATAACCACTGTATTTGTATATGTTTGTACTTGTTGCTGGCTGAATTCCTGAAAATAATTCTGACACGATGATCGGTTGGCCAGTCTTTGAATTATCAAAGGCGATCGATCTTCACTGAGGGAGCTGTAAGTCTATATTAGTCTACACGACCGATTTCTGAGTATAACACATGACCTAGTACTGCTTCACTCCTCGATATAACTTTAAACTTATTATACATTYATGACTAAGTAAGTGGAGTAATGAAGAAGATGTATAAACACTGAAGCAGAGTCTGAATAGGGTGTGACTTTGGCAGTGAAGTACGTCAATATGACATAAAATGAATGATGACGTATATCAGTAATAACAGTCATGAGTTGCACCTGAACTCCAAGACAGTTACAATTATATCATCAACCGTCTGCGTCTTCACAACTCAATGTACCAGGAATTAAGTATAGCTTAAAGGGGCATGGTCCACCAGCATTCAATGCGGTCGTGTTTTAGATTTTTCATATATGGAAAATGAGATGACTTCGAATATCCATTCGCAATCCGTTTCCATCCATCGGTTTAAAGGTCGAATCTTACATTATCTCCATTCATTTAGTATAAAGGGATAATAAAGAGTATATTACGATATATTTTTATTTTTGAATATGAGCAAAAGCTCGAAAGGGATCCCGGACCATGTCCCTTTAAGACGAAGTGCATCCAGAAAAGGACCCCAAAAGATAGATACACTAATTGTTTTTTTTTTGTTTGATTCATTACAGTTTCTATTTTTCTTTCCAGTGCAATGAAGGAACAGGTACACGTGTTTTATTTGAGTACCTATCAAGAAGACCACCCGTAATAATGCTCCTCGGAGCAGGATGTTCATCTGTATCTCGTACAGTGGCCCAGGCAGCTTGGCAATGGAATTTAATTCAGGTTTATATCATTTGCTTTTGTAGGTCGGTTAGTCTGGCGRTCGAAGGTGGTTGTTGGATTGGTTGGCTGGTTTGTACAGCATAGTCAGTGGCTTGGTCAGTCTGATATATAGTTATAGTCGATGTGATGTGTTGGGTTGTTTGGCTGACGCCGGGTATTGATAATGCTGCATATGAGGGAGCAAGCTCCAGGGAAAGCTTGCTGTAGCATGTTGCGGGAGGAATATYATGTGTTCCGACATTCATTAAAAGCTCTCCTTGCATAAAAGCTTATGTTAGGCTTTTGATAGAATTTCTTAACATACACTTTTAACTCAATTGCTGCCTCATCAATGTTATTATTCCATTCTTGTTTGATCGTTTATTGATTGATACGTTTGATTGACAGGTGTCATACGGTTCTACTGCATCTTATCTTTCCAACACCAAACGATATAAACTGTTTTATCGCGTTATTCCGCCCGATTCATCTCGAATCGCTGCACTTATTAGCTTTCTAAAACTAAACAAGTGGAATCGAGTGGCATTGGTAGGAGAAAATGACATGGGACAGGTATAAACATAACTTCAACTTTCTTCTAGCAAATTGACAATTATAACATCATGTTTAACCCCTGATTAGGTGGAACTCTTCAAGAGGGTTCCCCCAGATCCATGCAATCACTGGAAAAAATCGCGCACCATAAAGGTTGTAAATTTGATGGAAATCATTTACATCAAATTTACATTATTTTGGACACTTACATCATATACACATCAAATTTACAACCTTTATAGCGCGCGATTTTTTCCAGTGAATTCTAATAAAAATCTAGCTCGTTTTCACCCATTCCCATGAGATTCAAAAGCAAAAGACCGGCGGCCATGTTGGACGAATTGACAATAGATACCAATGAGAAATCCTTTGTTGAAGTTCAACCAAGATGGCCGCCACTGTGACGTGTATTGAAAACGAACAATAAGTAAGATATTTTATACCACATACATCGAGAATTTATTTTTTTGTTTTTCCATTTGAAGACAATAATCGAGCTGACACAAGAGCTTCATAAGCACAATGCGACAATTATTACGTCGGAAATATTGACGGAAGAACCAAGCAAGCAGATGGAAAATATCAAGGTAACGGTTGATTGAACTGAGAATATCATATTGTTGATASATAGCCGGGAGTTGTTGATTTCTATAGGTTTTACTGGCTGCGCCTTATCGATCAACATCGTCCGAAGTCCCTTATCCCTTCGGGCCTAATGTTGCTTATTGATTTGTCGCTTGCTTGCCTGTATGTTCAATTGATGATTAAGGCGCAACAAAAACTAAGGTGCTGAATCATAGATTGATTGACTTACTGATTGTATCATGACTTAGGCGAAGGACGCAAGAATCATTATATCCCTCGTGAACCAAGACAGGACAAAGCATGTTTTTTGTCAGGTACACTAAAAAGCACACCAGTATTAGGAAATATTCAAAAAAATAATAATTTCTACGGATAATAAAGTGAAAAGGACATTCAATATGCAGCGACGCCATTTTGTTTAAAAAGCTTGATGGGAGTTGTAGTYCACTCKCGCACTTTTTTCAGCCTCAAAAYCTCCCARAGGCCACATCAATTAAAACTTTGCAAAGCTTGGGAGGACTGTTTCGTGGTTTGTTGTACAAAATGGCGTCGTTGCACATTAACGTAATCCTGAAAWTTGGAAGCAGGGGTATTCTTAAAYCGCATAMCGTATCGGTATAAGTAAAATTAGTTCATTGAACATATAMYTTTAGTGCATTATGGCCTTTTCGTTTTTGCTGAATTAAAAGGCTTACCAGGTTGGCATCTATGGCCGCAGATACGTATGGATTTTTCCATTCTGGTTTGGCGATCAATGGTGGCTCAAAGATGGCTCCCATTGCAACAAACACCAATTAACCCCGCCTGCACATGGAAATTTCTTTTTTGACAGCACGGGACTGGCAACTAGTGACAAGGATGCTTTTGGCATGGTAGGTGTACGTGGAGTTTGACAACACGGAGGTTCTTTTCTTTTTTATGGGAACGTTCTTTTCTTTTTTTATGGGAACTGAGTATACATGGAGTATACGTTGAACCGTTTTGGATAAGCTCAACAGTTTATTCCTGTTTACGCATCTTCATCTTGTTKCTGTTTTTTTTCAGAGTGCTTTACAAATGAAAGAAACCTTAAAAAAAGACCCGGGATTCACGAATGATTTTGCGCTGTTTGCCTTCGATGCTATGTGGGCGATGGCTTTAACCCTGCACAACGCAGCCAARACTCTAGCTGAACAAAACAAAACCCTCGAAATGTTTAACTACCGAAGCAGTAGAATTACAGCGATAATGAAGTCTTCATTGCAATCCATATCCTTCCAAGGAACAACGGTAATTACTAACTGAAAGTCAGTCGTGGATATGCTTCAGGAGAATTGAACTTTCTAAATTTGGGGCCAACCTTAAAAAAGACTTAAGAATTCAGGTCTTTCGTCAGTTTATGATCCATCTCCTTGAAACGTCTGAATCTTGCTGTCCATATATGATAAACAAATATTTCATAGTCTAAGTGTGATATTAGTGTATGTTTGCCCTAAATAAATCTTTGAAAAATACATTTTTTTATGGTGAGACCTTTTTCACAAGTTTTATCCTTTCTCCTTGTTCTTGTTTACTCAGTGATTCCTTTCTCCATTTTGTTCGGCAGTG